CGGATTTAGGTAATAAAACAGAGTATTTTTCATTGGGAATGAAACATTAGTATATTTATTTTAAAAAATACGACTGATTTACATGCATAAGGAAATAATTAACGAACTTGACTGTTATATTTTTTTTTTTTTATAATAACCATTGAATTTGACAATTGATTTACCGCAAATAAGGCACACCTTGCTAGGTGTGCCAGGGCCGTGAGTGAACGCACGTAAAAAAAAAAGAGAGTGACTTTAAATTGAAATTGTTGTCCAATTTATTCTAGCCCACGCGCAGAGAGAGGACAAGGTAAGTGAGATAAGGTAAGTATTGTTTAAATGACATGTGTCTTATTTTTATAGGTTAATGAATTTTATATATCATATTAAATAAATTAAATTATCAACTATATTTTATATTAAAAAATAAAAATAAAAATATCAAAATTCATAATTTTTCATTCTCTACAAATAGAGACCACATTTGATAGATTTTGGAATACAATTAATTTATTATTTTATATAATTAATTTATGTAATTAGAATATGATGACGCAAATCTATAATAAAATGAACATGTTACATAGTAAGATGAACATGTTATATAATAAGATGAACATGTTATAGAATAAGATGAAAATGTTACATATTTACAAAATAAGGTGAACATGTTGTAAAATAAGATAGATATGTTACATAATGAAATGAACATGTTATAAAATAAGAAGAACATGTATAAAATAAATAAATAAATAAAAAATAAAAAACCAAGATGAACATGTTACATATTTACACAATAAGGTGAACGTGTTACAAAATGAGATGGACATGTTATAAAATAAGATGAACATGTTACATAGTAAGATGGACATTTTATATAATAAGATGAACATGTTACATAGTAAGAAGAACATGTTATATAGTAAGAATGTAAGATGAATATGTTATATAATAAGATGAAAATGTTACATATTTACAAAATAAGGTGAACATGTTATAAAATAAGATGGATATGTTACAAAATGAGTAAGATGAACATATTATATAGTAAGATGAACATGTTATAGAATAAGATAAACATGTTACATATTTACACAATAAGACGAACATGTTACAAAGTAAGATGGATATGTTACAAAATGAGATGAACATGCTATAAAATAAGATGAACATGTCACATAATGAGATGAACATGTTACATAGTAAGATGAACATGTTATATAGTAAGATGAATATGTTATAGAATAAAATGAAAATGTTACATATTTACAAAATTAAGGTGAACATTTTTGGGAGGTTTGGATGGCATGAGGTGGAGACTTACATCTTCGGGTGCATTCTCTACGTCATCAGCCTGGGGAGAAGTGAGGCCGTGCAACCGGCCAAACCGCCACTTCGGGGCCATATGGACCGACCTTCTCACCCCGACCATTTCCGTCTTTTTGACTCGACTATACTATAATTTAACTCTATTATACTAAGTTTGACTCGACTATACTAGAAT